GACTGAACCAAACCCTGTTTTATTTTCATCTCACACACTCCTATTTCCAGACAATCCAGCTCGCTGTGGAGGTTTTCAGTAAAAGAGGCAGTGCTGTTAATCCAGAAAGCAGTGGACTTGACTAAGTGGTAACTGACAAACTACAGGTCTATCAGCAGTGGCAATGCTTACAGCCATGCCTCCTGCATCATTTTTTCATCCTACTGTAGGGTAAGCAGGCACTGCCTATATGAGAGTGGCAACTCTGCTTTGATTAAGGAGCCATGCAGCATTGTTGCCACCCCATCACAGGAAGCTGCATTAGGTGGACTCCAATGGCGGAATAAAACGGTAGACTTTGCAGGGGGACTAAGAGAAAACTTTAAATCCAGTAAATGCTGTAGCACATATTGTTTTTACTGGGAGGCCATAGTTCTACGTCAAAGTTTTTGTTTTAATAGGTAGTAAAGTTACATGTAATCTGTCTTTATCAACTAGACACACACCAGCTTTAGATAAAATTAGGCTTGCAGTGGGAATGTCTACTTTGTGAGATAGTGTGTGGATAGGGTGTGCCTAAGAAAGCTCAGATAGGGTGCCCAGTGTGCAAGAAGCAAGTAGTAGGTGAGATTGTGGGGCAAAGCTAACAGAAGTGTAGCTTCAGATACGGGTTGTCACTCTCCTTACTCTATTTAACTATACAGCAGAGCAGAGGTAGGCTAATCACAAGAGAATCTGCATTTCTTTACAAATCCTTTGGAAGGTAAATCATTCTCTACAGATGCCTTTTACTGCGTATTAGGCTGTTTGGCTGGAACTGCACTTTATTTTTTTTTGTGCTTAGATCCTCTATATTATCCTTCCCTTCCAGCTATTGAGTACATATCTCCCCTGAGGTCCACACAGATGAGACCGCTGGAACGCCAGCAAAAGGATAAGCAGCTGAAATTTCCTCGTCTCCGCTTTAATCACAGGACGGCTTTGCCTGCAACATCAGCACAATACATTGACTGCAAATCAAAGGCTACAACCTTTTATTAAACACGTTACATTTATCCATAGGGATGACGCACTACAGACGCTATTTTAAAACAGGGCTGGAGGCTGTCGGAAGACAAATTTGATTAAAATCTCATAAAGAACAAACATGGGGCAAAAGATTGTGGACCTCGGGTGATGCAGCACCGACGTATCCTATATTTTTCTATACCGCTTCAAAATGCATTGTTACCTTAGTAACTAGCACATCACAATGTATTTATAGAAGCTCCGAGCTGCAGAGAGCTAATGTATTCAGTACAACAAAAATATTCTCCCCTTGGCAACGAGGTAACTGCAGAGCGATGTCAGCAGTAATGATGAGAAATGGTAAGTGCTGACAAAAGTGCCCATATCACACCATTATCGCTAAACCCCTCCCCCGCAGGCCGCACTCGCTCCAAGGGAATTTCACTGTAATGTGACAGGTCCTCCTAATGGCTTAGGAGTTAATATATTACATTTACTGGGGCAGATTTCTACTTATCTATAGCCACTGGTATGCTGTACACATCTGTGCTGCTTATACCGCCATCCTCCTGCGTGGAATCAAACATATGGCAGAATTGGACAGAAGTTTCTTTAGAAAATTTGCTATTTTACCTCTAAAAAAAAGCTTTAAAATATAATTTCAGAAAAAAAGTGAAATTGATTTTTAGTGTGCTAGGCATGTATGCATTAATTAAAATGATTTTTTTTAGCCCTCTCTAGCTAAAGAAATAACGTGGTAAGTGCAGTAAACCATTAGAATTAATTGTACTACAGTCTTAAGCAGGCCATAGACGGGCTGTTTATCAGCCGAATTGTCGGCCCATAAACGAAAAATTGGTAGTTGCCGCCACCAATGGACGTTTTTTTCGTGGATTTTCCAGCATGACCGATAAAAATAAAAATTCCGCCGATAAACGACCCGTCTTGGCCTGCATTACCAGTACAAGATTGTTTGCTATAGATTACTGCACTTATAAGCCTGATGAGCTTTTTGTATATGTGTTTGAAGCCCAACAAATCTGTCTGCAATACTTATGGTCAGTCCAGAGCTATCCCCCATAGTACTTCTTTTTTCCCAAATAATGTTCTTAAAGCACAATTTTGGGCAAAAACTTCTTTACACGTTCTTGTTGCTGATTTCCTACCTTCAATGAATATGTCATCCGTCTTCTGGTTCACTCAGTAGTTGCTCTGAAATAGCCTATTCATTTTCAAATCAAATCATTAATTCTCTTTGGTTTCCTATTTGTAAGACCAGTGTCTACTATGCCTCCTATTCCCCCAGCCATTGGTCTTGGCACATCACTTCTGTAGTTCTTTCTCCAGGAAGCAGTGATGTCATTCAGACCCACTTGCAGTGATGGGCAGACCAAGGCTCTCAGACACATTCAACACGTACAGGCCTAGTGTACCCGCCCACATTCACTACAATTCCCATTGGTTGATGGGAACTGTATTCTCCTTTTACTGTAGAGAGAGAGAAGTGGATATGATGTAATCCCTGCTGTTACACCTCCTCCTTGGCAGAGTAGATGCTGTTATCTTTTAAATTACAGAGATGAGGTCATGAAAATTCAATTAGACTTTTCTCCTAAATAGAAAGGATTTTAAAAATGTTATTAACTGTTTAGTGTTCACTGTAGGGGGGTGTACTAATGGGTGATTTTTTTTTTCTATCGTGGAGTTCTTTAATTTGTCAGTTAAATAACCACCAGCATAACTCAAACTGAAAACTAAGTTCAATCCCCTGAGCACAGCTTTCTGCACTCACGGTGTATGGATGCAGAGAGAGGTGTTATCATAGCGGTGCTTCTCTCTGTGCTATCCAAGATTGCTTACTGCTAGAGAAGACCGAAGAGGACAAGGACCTATCATGTCACACCTTAGTATGTGAATACAGTCAGATAAAATAGTATGATGTGTGTATATGATATTTTACTAAAGGGAACATACCATTATAGGCAAAGGGGGTTATTTATTAAGGCTGCAGAATACAAAATCTGGTGCAGCTCTGCATAGAGACCAATCGGCTTTCAGGTTTTATTGTCAAAGCTTAATTGAACAACCTGAAGTTAGAAGCTGATTTGCTACCATGCACAGCTGCACCAGATTTTGAGTACATCAGTTTTTTGTAAATTTGTAACGACTAGGCACTTCCACCACCTTTGCTTTGACAAACTGATGCTGCATAGCACCCCTAAAACCCTTAAAATCCAAAATGTCAATGCTTAGAAGCATCCCCATCATATCCCATTTTGAAACTGCATAAGCTTCAAACAGTGAATAACTTGGATTTAGGTGCTCCTGGAACATCCCATAGCCATCGATGTGGAAAAGAAAAATTCTGAAAAAACAGACCACTACCTTATGGTGCCTAGTCTTGCTTATTATGTAGGGGTGTGGAGAATGCTAGGCTTTCTTTAAGATGCTCATTGTACAAAACTTCTGCAGCAGTGATCTAAATATGTCCATTTCCTTTCAGTAGATACTTAAAAAAGCCTGTATAGATGTGAAGATACACAATGGGTAATAAATACTATGATTCATTGTCCTGCCTCACTAAAGTCAAATACATCAGAAACATTATGTAATGCTTTAAAGAATGTTACAGGCAAACCACTAAAATCTAACCTAGACGGATTGTGTATATTTTCCGTACAGATAGTGGAAGAGAACCATTTTATTAACAGCCACTCAAAGACCTAAAACAGAGTTGTATAACTGACTTTTATTTTCTATGTCTTAGAATAAAATAGTGCTGTTCACTAAAGGTGAGAGCTAGCAGTACAATGGAAGTCTATGCCCTAGATCTTCCCCTCTAAAAAACGCTTTTATTGCTTTCCTTACTCTTGCTGGAGAAATTCCATCCACTTCCTGTCCCAGTAACCACAAGGGAAGTGAGGGAAGATCTCACCAGTGGGGAGCAAGATAGCAATAAAACTCTACAAAGGTTGGTACTGTATCCTATTCTTTCCAAAAAAAGGCTGGAGCTGGACTTTAATCCAACAGCCACTGGCAGGTCCCTAAGGAGTGCGATCAAAGCTTTATTACAACTCTTTCATCAACTTTGGTAACTTCAATCTTTCGAATGCTGTAGTAGCAGTTAACTCCAACAACCAATCAAACCAATCAAACTATTTTTATTAGCAATAACAAAACAGTAAAAAGGAAAAAAATGTTGATGAAAGCACCACTAAAACACACCTTAAAGAGGATTTCCAGGAAAACTGGAACTCACCAACTACTCAAGACTGCTGGGTATAGTAACACAAAGGGGTCCACACTTCCCACGTGTCTTAGATCTAGAATTACAGAAATGCCATGCCCTTTAAAGGGCAAAATATAACTGTTTTAAGAGGCAACTTTGCTGGGAAGAAAAGAAGTCTGCAGTGCAATTATAAAATCAAGTTATTTTCTCTCTCACCCTTATATTTATGAATATGTATACGACACGTGAAGAGAATGGTAGAGAAAGAGAGGCAATAACTTTATAGCTGCACTTAAATTGATTTGCTCTATTTAAAATGGTTATATATACCCAGTAAGATGACTGGTCTCAGGTGATATACAGACATGAAACAAAGCCTCCCACATAAGCTGTACCTGTTTATCTGCAGTCTTCTTGTCTCTATGTCCGTTCAAAGTGCAGAATTTACAAAGCTTGCCTGACAGTCCAGAAAAAAGGAGGTGGACAGCTGAAGTTACACTCTCCAGAGCTCAGTGAGGAGAGTTCTCACAACTGATTGGAGGGATCAGACACCCCCCTCCACACAGCTCACAGGAACACAGCTGAGTCTGTCACTCTGTTAAAGCTCCCTCCCCTGTCACCCTTTTTCTCTTGGTGTCAGGAAAACTTATCAGAAATCACTCGTACTGATAGCAGAGGAACAAAGTAACAGATATGCTTTGTTATATTTCATGTCTGAGGTTTACAACCACTTTAGGGAAACAGAATCTGTATACTGTTGGCACCAAATAGCACATTTCCTTACCTATGTGTTGTGCACAGGTGTCACAGTACTCCGCATAGAGAGATTCAAAGCAATTGCAGCAGTATGGACGTCCTTCCTTCATTATGTATCTTTGGCCTCCAAGAATTGTTTCACATTCAAAGCAACAAAAGTGTTTCATATGCCAGTGTCTGCCCTCTGCTTCTGTACATTCATCTGCAAAAATTATCTAAAAGAAAAGAAGGAATCGGTTTTGCTGAGCAAGAAGAATTATTCAGTAGGTGGAGCAGACAGTAAGCAGCAAAACCAAAATGAAACATCAACCTAAAAGACAGTTTAAAATAAAATTCAGTTCAAGCTGAGATTATGACAATCTTGTGCAGGTTTGTACATTATTCACACGTCGCTCACACAGGGCTAAAGGCTAGTTAGTAGTTGTAGTTAGTTACATTCAACTAGACTTGTTCTGTAATGTTTAAAATGTTTTGTATCTTCTCCAAGCCACTTATTCACTTTCAATGACTGTGAGGAAGGTCTTCCAGTATTTTTATCTACTAAGGTAGCAGAGACACCTTAAGCCAGTGGTTCTCAACCTGTGGGTCGCGACCCCTTTGGGGGTCGAATGACCCTTTCACAGAGGTCCCCTAAGACCATTAGAAAACACATATTTCCGATGTGTAAAGAGCAACTACTGTGTAGAAATCAGCTGCTGTGTTGAAAGCAGCTACTCTGTTAAAAGCAGCTACTGTGTTGAAAGCAGCAGTATTGGAGGTAAAACGACACTCATGAATTATAATTACTGGGTAAATAATTTTATGGTTGGGGGTCACCACAACATGAGGAACTGTATTAAAGGGTCACGGCATTAGGAAGGTTGAGAACCACTGCCTTAAGCCAATCACCATAGAATGTGTCAAGGCAGATGTTGATTGCTCGAGAACAGGATGGGATGTGTGCAAGTTGTGGAACTACCCTATTCTGGTTACACAATCCCATCCTTGATGTCAGGAAGTCTGCATAAGTGCTTATTTCTGGAGAATATGGTGGTTCCACAACTTTCATATCTCATCCTTTTCTTGGACACTAAAAATCTATGCATTCCATAGTGACTAGTGCTACCTGTGTAGATATGAATGCTAGGGCTGACATCGATTTGGACTGAAGAAGTGGCCTAGAGAAGTTACTAAAAGTCTTAGCGAACAAGTTCAACAGAGCGTCACTGACTAATACTAGCTATGGCATGACCTAGATAGACATAGGGACTAAAGACTCTTGATGCCCTATGGACAGTGCCAGATGTCTGAGTGGGCAATCAACAAGCACCAGCATTGTCAAATGGGTTTAAGGGTCACATGCACTAGGTTTTTCTATTTGCTGCTCTTTTTCTATTAAAACGCCCCAAGAATGAGGGGACGGGGGACGGGGGTGTTATTTTTTTTTTTTTTTAAACATCCACAGTAAACTGGAGTTTTTCCTTAAGGTAAGAGTAGAAAAGTCAGCACCAAAGAGCAACCTTCACCCTTCCACTCAATCAAGGGAATACTGGACTACACTATAATCTAATTTCAAATTCTCTTGTGAAGGCTCCACCAAATACCACATCTTTAGTTATTGAAGTGGTTCTCTTTGAAATATATTTTATAATTTTCTGGTAAGTAAATACTTTGTCACAGTAGAGGCATGCAAATACCTTCCATTTATGAAGGCTTTTATTGTGTTTTAGTTTACGTTTGGGGGTTTATTAGCTTGTCATAAAACACTAAAAGTTGTATGTCTGGATCTGACCACAAACATTTACAATGACTGTAAAACTGTCATAAGACTCATCGTTCTTCAGATTCCAATTATTCTGGGAAAACAATACACCACATTCTGCCTTCAGTGTTCTGAGATCACACAACATCAACAAAAAGAAACTTCAATCTCAACATATCCCCAAGGCTTGGCTTAATCCAACTTTATCCTATCAAGGGATGGACTGCGGTGTGACTTCTGCTGACTCGTAGCATACTGAGCTGAGATAAGAGAGCAGCTATGTCTACAATCTCACTAAGATATATAGCTCAACTAAAATATCTCCTGGAACATCTGTGTACAATGCAACCCCCGGGCATTTTCACTCAATGGCAGCTTTAACACTGTGCCCCCCTCAGTCAATACAGATGCATTCATAGCTTTAGAGGTCAAAACAGCCCTCCAATAAGGGGCAAATTCCTGTAATATGAATCAAATATTTTTTTTTCACTGACACATGGTTTTAGATGTTGTGTTGTATTTTTCAAAGTGTTAAAGCTGAATTAAAGGCAGCTATAATAGGCACAAGATTATACAGCCCTGTATTCACTAAACTCCAACTCTGGGCACAATATGCTTACCGGGGTTAAATTAGTTGGACACTCCATTGACGCAAAAGCCTCCTGCCGTAATGTACACTTTCTTCTACATCCGCCAAATCTTCTTGTTTGCATGCTGGGGAAACTACAGGCCTAACAGCTCCAAGACCTGCTGTCCTATCTCTGGCCCCTTCTCCTTCGCCTTCCTAGAGTCTGTTTTTGTGAATGGCCAGGAGGAAAGGGAGGTAGACATGAAAGCTGCGCAGAGACCTGCAGACCTTACCGTGGCCCAAATGTACAGCTGGAGCTGTAGCTTCCCCTGCATGTAAACAAGAAGATTTGCCTGGTAGAACAGAAAGTGTATATTACTGCAGGTGTTTTTGAGGCAACGGAGTGTTCAACTAATTTAACCCCAGTATGCTTTTTGTGCTTGAATTTTTTCTTTCAATTTAAGTGTATTTTCCTGAATTTTACTTTGTATGAGGCTTTTGCAATCCCCGGTACAGCAGCAGTCAGAAAAGGTGAGAGATGTGCAGGACTAGGAGTCACTCAGATGTGTTGTATGCAAATGTATGGACAAAAAAATATGCTGATAGGAGAAGAAAGAACAGTAAGATTACTTCCTCAATCTGTTGCTGCTCTTTCTCTGCCCAGTCAGCAGGCTGGTGTGGAGATAAACATCACGGTGGTCTCTCTACAGTCTATAATAGTAAAAAGTTGTGTCATCCTCCAGGCTGTTTTCAGGAGCATGTAACACTCATGTTCCATGCCAGCTGCTGGTCTCATCCCAGCATCCTGGTTTTGGCTGAGCTGCACTCACCCTGTCTAACTGTTCACCTGCAGGGTGATTGGGGAGGACACAGCCTCTGGGTGGAATTCAAATATGTTTTAAGTCTGTCAAGCCCTTAGTGTCATGCTTGTGATCATGTTTGCAACACGTGCTGAAAGCTCCTTGTTTGCCTGCTTTGTTCCCGTGCCTTAACCCTGCCCTGCCTGCTAGTCTGGATCGATTTTTTAGCAACCTCGAATTGGACTTTGGACTACTCTCTGAACTCAGCCTGCCTTTTGACAATGGATCTGACCCTGACAACTCTCTGAACATTGCCTGCCCAGAACTTGGACTGCTATTGGACCACTCTGCCTGTCTGCCAATCGCAAGTACCTGTTTTCTGTGCTTAGCTCACACCTGCCCTGGTGGCAAGGCACTATAGCATTGAGTATAAGACGTAGGGGCAACCGAGTACCAGTAGTCCTGCTTGCCTTATAGGAAGGGGACTGCTATATGCGAAGAACACAGAGCCAACTAAAGTTCTTGACCACCAATGCTAGAGGCAGGCATGACAGCTGTACTTTCTGATAGGGCTGTATAAATCTCATCACTGGATGATCCAAAATACAAATATTTGGCAGGTATGCAGGTCCCACATATGTATTTATTTTGTGTATTTAGCAAGAGTTAAGCTTTAAAGCACAGCTCTAGGCAACAAGTGAAAATGATCAAATAACTGCTATCACTTTCCAGGAAACACTTCCAGCGAGTTTAAATTGTAAAATTCAATTCATTAGTATTAATCTGAGCATTCATAAGTCTGGTTCAACAAACTATTAGATATGCTTTTGGGTGGCTCTCATTACATGATTTTATGCAATCACATGCAATACACGCCTGCTGTACTGTTAAGTATTATAACTATTCTTTTGCAGGGTTGCTTGTTTTTAAATGATCATTTTAGTAATAGAATCACTGTAAACTTTGCTGTCATAAATATATGGATTTTTAGCACAATTTTTTTTAAATTTAAATATAAACTATGAATGCGATAACTGTGCTTGTGGGAAAACTGTGGGTGGACTGGACTACAGAAATGGCACTGTTGCTCAAGAACCCACAGAGAGAATATGAATAGTAATTTTTTTGTGAATATTTCGATTTTTTTCTTACCTCATCACAGGCTGCACATCGCGGCTTTAAACACTCGGCGTGGTGTCTGCCGCAGTAAATTTTCCCATCCTGGTAGAAGTAAATAAGGTCGACCAGTAGCTCGTTACATATGGTGCACACAAAGCACTGGGGATGCCAGCACACGCCATGGCCCGCCCTTGATGCGAACACAGCCATGTCCCCTCCATTAATCTGACCTCCACACTGCAAGACAGGAGGAAAAGGTGATTTATAACAGATCACAGCAAGATCACATAGAGACCCAAAGAATAAAAAGTACAAAATACACAGAAATTGTATTATAGGCTGATCACTCGTGAACAAACAAAGATATCCTTTAGGTGTTATCTACCAGTTATACATAGTAAATTCCAGACAACTTCAACTACTTTATCAGATTTTATTACAAAAAGACAAAAATTGGTTAATTAAACTTATCAACAGTTTCAAAACAATAGAAGTTGTTAAGACTCATTCACACATCCTCAAAAATGATCCTTCTAGCGTGCAGGCAGATGTCTGTTCTGTGGTGGTGGTGGGGAGCAGTGCCTTGCGCTGTAACAGTGCAAGGCATTGTTTAATTTTCTTTTAAAACTTTATTGAAATGTGAAAATGACATTTCATTCACATATCCACAGCAGTGCAGTGAAGCTCCACTGCAGTGACTGGTGCTGAAAGTGGGTGAGCTCCGGTACATTGTGCAAAAATGCAGCATTTTGTAATTTTTCTGCACATCACACCAGCACTGCAGTGTAAACAGGGCACATTTGTTTTCTATGTGCCCTTGCAGTGAATGGTGATGAGTGCTGAAAAAAAAAACGCCAGTCACCATACACAGTGTGAACGGCCCTTATAATTTGCTTTCACAATGTTTATCATTTCATACCTAGAAAGTTGGTTAAAAATGTTTGCAATCACCTTAAAATTGGTGCAAATGTAAAGCTAGCCATAAACATGATTTCCTAGAGTAAAGCAATTGAAGAGAAAAATGGTTTAGATCAACTCTATAGAGTTGGGATTAAAACTGTTCCCATGGGAACCTGCAGAGAATTCCAATTACGTTTAAAGTGTTACTAAACCCAGGACCCTGCATTCACTCTCTGATCTCCCACAGTACACACAACATGGAAATGCAATTATTTTAGTAAATATAAACTGCTAATTACCTTTTCTCATAAGCAGCTTAAGCAGTCTCGTGACTTCTATCAGTGTTCAGCTGAGCACAGGTTAAAGGCTGTAGGAGGAGTTTTCATTCTCCCCTGATTGTCTTATGAGGCTGCAGGATCCATGGCCCTCTGTCTGGACAGTGCTGATTGGCCCTGTGTTGATCACATGCACTCTCCCAAGGAAAAAAAAAACCTCTCTAGCAATACACACCAAACTGAGCATGTGCAGCTTGCCCGCAAGGTTCTGTTCTATTAGCAGATGGACTGAGGACAGTAGAAGAGGGGAGGATCAGAGGATTAACCCCTTAGATTCCACTGTGAGCGTAACAAGCATGCTTTACTGCATATAGAGACTGATTTTATTGTTGTGGGTTAAGTGACACTTTAATGAAACTGCCATTTTTTATCTGATTCTCATAAATTGCATTAAAGCTGTCAATGTATTACTGAGTTTTGACTTCACAACTGACCTAATCTTGACAGTTGATTTAATTTGTTGCTATTGTGTTCTGCTGGTGAGGATCCTTCGCTGCCAGCAGAACACGATGATTATTGCTGACAGCTATAGCTGCCAGCAGTAATCACATGTACAAAATCTGACCGGTTGGTTGTACTCAAGTCAATCAATGGATCAACTTGGGTAAAACCAGCCTGCCTATAGATCAGTGGTTCTCAACCTTTCTAATGCCGCGACCCTTTAATACAGTTCCTCATGTTGTGGTGACCCCCAACCATAAAATTATTTTCGTTGCTACTTCATAACTGTAATTTTGCAGTGGGAGGAGTAGTGCCACATCATTGGTGTCAGTGGTAGGAATAGTGCCCCATCATTGGTGCCAGTGGGAGGAGTAGTGCCCCATCATTGGTGCCAGTGGGAGGAGTAGTGCCCCATCATTGGTGCCAGTGGGAGGAATAGTGCCCCATCATTGGTGTCAGTGGGAGGAATAGTGTCCCATCATTGGTATCAGTGGGAGGAATAGTGTCCCATCATTGGTATCAGTGGGAGGAATAGTGCCTCATCATTGGTGTCAGTGGGAGGAATAGTGCCTCATCATTGGTGTCAGTGGGAGGAATAGTGCCCCATCATTGGTGTCAGTGGGAGGAATAGTGCCTCATCATTGGTGTCAGTGGGAGGAATAGTGCCTCATCATTGGTGTCAGTGGGAGGAATAGTGCCCCATCATTGGTATCAGTGGGAGGAATAGTGCCCCATCATTGGTGCCAGTGGTAGGAATAGTGCCCCATCACTGGTGTCAGTGGGAGGAATAGTGCCCCATCACTGGTGCCAGTGGGAGGAATAGTGCCCCATCATTGGTGCCAGTGGGAGGAATAGTGCCCCATCATTGGTGCCAGTGGGAGGAATAGTGCCCCATCATTGGTGCCAGTGGGGGGAATAGTGCCCCATCATAGGTGTCAGTAGGGGAAATAGTGCCCCATCATTGGTGCCAGTGGGAGGAATAGTGCCCCATCATTGGTGCCAGTGGGGGGAATAGTGCCCCATCATTGGTGCCAGTGGGGGGAATAGTGCCCCATCATTGGTGCCAGTGGGAGGAATAGTGCCCCATCATTGGTGCCAGTGGGGGGAATAGTGCCCCATCATTGGTGCCAGTGGGGGGAATAGTGCCCCATCATTGGTGCCAGTGGGGGGAATAGTGCCCCATCATTGGTGTCAGTGGGGGGAATAGTGCCCCATCATTGGTATCAGTGGTAGGAATAGTGCCCCATCATTGGTGCCAGTGGGAGGAATAGTGCCCCATCATTAGTGCCAGTGGGGGGAATAGTGCACCATCACTGGTGTCAGTGGGGGGAATAGTGCCCCATCACTGGTGTCAGTGGGGGGAATAGTGCCCCATCATTGGTGTCAGTGGGGGGAATAGTGCCCCATCCTTGGTGTCAGTGGGGAGAATAGTGCCCCATCATTGGTGTCAGTGGGGGGAATAGTGCCCCATCATTGGTGTCAGTGGGGGGAATAGTGCCCCATCACTGGTGTCAGTGGGAGGAAAAGTACCCCAACATTGGTGTCAGTGGGAGGAATAGTGCCCCTATCATTGGTGTCAGTGGGGGGAGGAATAGTGCCCCATCCTTGGTGTCAGTGGGGGGAGGAATAGTGCCCCATCCTTGGTGTCAGTGGGGGGAGGCATAGTGCCCCATCCTTGGTGTCAGTGGGGGGAGGCATAGTGCCCCATCCTTGGTGTCAGTAGGGGGAGGCATAGTGCCCCATCCTTGGTGTCAGTGGGGGGAGGAATAGTGTCCCATCCTTGGTGTCAGTGGGGGGAGGAATAGTGCCCCATCCTTGGTGTCAGTGGGGGGAGGAATAGTGCCCCATCCTTGGTGTCAGTGGGGGGAGGAATAGTGCCCCATCCTTGGTGTCAGTGGGGGGAGGAATAGTGCCTCATCCTTGGTGTCATTTGGGGGAGGAATCGTGCCTCACCCTTGGTGTCAGTGGGGGGAGGAATAGTGCTCCATCCTTGGTGTCATTTGGGGGAGGAATCGTGCCTCATGCTTGGTGTCAGTGGAGGGAGGAATAGTGCCCCATCGTTGGTGTCAGTGGGGGGAGGAATAGTGCCTCATCCTTGGTGTCATTTGGGGGAGGAATCATGCCTCATCCTTGGTGTCAGTGGGGGGAGGAATAGTACCCCATCGTTGATGTCATTTGGGGGAGGAATCGTGCCTCATCGTTGGTGTCAGTGGGAGGAATAGTGCCCCATCATTTATGTCAGTGGGGGGAGGGATAGTGCCCCATCGTTGGTGTCAGTGGGAGGGATAGTGCCCCATCATTGGTATTAGTGACACCAATGATTGGGCACTATTCCTCCCACTGACACCAATGATACTTACCTTGCTGACCCCTGCTCCAGCCTGGGCTCGCTCGCTCGCTCGCTCCCTCCCTCTCCCATGGTAGAGAAACTTACCGGTCAGATGTCTTCCTTCTCCGGCCGCTCTCCTCCTCTTCACTCGCTCGATCTTCGCGGTGCCGCTCGGCTCCTCCTCTCCAAGCTCCACCTCCTCGCCAGTGATTGGCCGCCTGTGTGTCTCTCCTGAGTTACAGTTCCGGCGGCCAATCAAAGGCGAGGATTGATCCCGGGGGGGGGGGGTGTCCAGATGACAGGGGCGGTATGTCATCCCGCCCACACCTGGAGAGTGATAGAGGAGCGGTGTCTAGGTTCCTAAGACCATCGGAAATATGTGTTTTCCGATGGTCTTAGGCGACCCCTGTGAAAGGGTCGTTCGACCCCCAAAGGGGTCGCGACCCCCAGGTTGAGAACCGCTGCTATAGATGGATCGAATCTTGGCCAGTCCCTGCTGAACCCAGCCAAGAATTGATCCATCTATGGCCATCCTTAGTTTCTGCTAATTATTTGTGAAATTTGGTTAAAATTGACATGTCTATGGCCAGCTTATCTAGCTTTTTCTACTTTTTTTTCTCCTACAATTTATCGAGTCTCCTGGAAAATAAGCCCACTTATGGTCAATTGTTGTTTATACATTACTTTAATAAAGATGGCCATTATTTTTTACAAGGTCCCTCTGCCTCCAAAAGACGAGGCCAAGCTAGAAACAAACAACAAAAAAGCTGCTCCTTTTAAACCATACAGTAGTATTTTTGTAATATAGTCTAAACCATTTATTTATTACAGGTACTTATATAGTGCTGTCAATTTACGCAGCGCTTTACATATATATTGTACATTCATATCAGTCCCTAACCCTCAAGGGGCGTACAATCTAAGGTCCCTAACTCACATTCATACATACACATACTAGGGACAATTTAGACAGGATCCAATTAACCTACCAGCATGTCTTTGGAGTGTGGGAGGAAACCTGAGCACCTGGAGGAAACCCACACAGGCACAGGGAGAACATGCAAACTGCAGGCAGGTGGTGCCGTCGTTGGGATTCGAACCAACGACCCTGGTACTGCCATGCGGAAGTGCTAACCATTTAGCCACTGTGCTGCCCAACCATAGGATATTTCCCAAATAACTCAGAATGTCTAGTTTAGGAAATCAGGTGACTAGCTCTTTTACTTTCAGAA